TTTTTTTGTGGTACGCGGGCCTCTCACCGTCGTGGCCCCTCCCATTGCGGAGCACAGGCTCCGGACGCGCAGGCTCAGCGGCCATGGCTGACGGGCCCAGCCGCTCCGCGGCATGTGGGATCTTCCCGGACCGGGGCACGAACCCGTGTCCTCTACATTGGCAGGCGGACTCCCAACCACTGCGCCACTAGGGAAGCACCTGGATGTAATTTTTAAACAGCGAAGTAGTTGACACGACTTTTGTTCTTGGTGTTTCATGGAAACACCAGCAAAATTCAGTGGGGTCAGAACCTGCTTGCCTGCAGCTTCCAAGTCACTCACTGCCTCTTGCTCTGTCCTTCAGGGTTACATAGAACAACTGAAGCATGTCTCTTCTTACCTGACTACCACTTACATTTTAAAAGACAGCAGCCAGATCTCCTCACTCTTCATATGACATGATTTCTAGGAGCCCCACCTACCTCCCTCAACTGCCACAGTAATCTCTGAAGACTTTTAAATAATCCATTAGCAATTTTTAGCAGCATAACTGAGCATACGTTCAGTGCTTAAGACTACAGTTGTTTGTTATCAAACCCTCCTTCCCCATGCTAGAAATTATTCTAGTATTTGCCTTAGAATAAGGGGGAAAAATGTGTGTTTCCAGTTAGTTGTGTAACCTTTTATATTAGTTACCTATTGCTGTGTAACAGATTGCCCCAACATTTAGTGGCTTAAAACAACAAACATTTGGGACTTTCCTGGCAGTCCAGAGATTAAGATTCTGTGCTCCCAGTGCAGGGGACCTGGGTTTGATCCCTGGTCTGGGAACTAGATCCCGCATGCTACAATTAAGAAAGAGTCCACATGCTGCAAATAAGAGTTCACATGCTGCAACTAAGAGTCTGCATGCTGCAACTAAAGATCCTTCATGCAGCAATGAAGATCCTGTGTGCTGCAACTAAGACCCAGAGCAGCCAAATAAATAAATATTTTAAAAAAACCAGGCTTTATTAAAACAAACAAAAACAAAAACATTTATTATTATCTCACAGTTTCTGTGGGGCAAGAATCTAGACTTGAGTTAACTGGGTGCCTCTGACTCAAGGTCTCTAGAGACATCACAGTAAAGCTGTTGGTCAAGGCTGTGGTCTCATCTGAAGGTTCGACTGGGTGGGGGGTCAGGGTTGGGGTAATCTGCTTCCAGGCTCACTCATATGGTTATTGGAAAGTCTCCATCCCTCACCATGTGAGCCTCTTCACAGGGCTGCCTGATACCATTGTAAATGTCTTTCTTCAGGACAAATGGTCATAGCAAGAGAGAGACAGAGAGAGAGCTCAAGATATAAGACACAGTGTTTTTATTACCTAATCTTGGAAATGACATCTCATTACTTCTGCCATATTCTACTTGTTAGAAGCAAGTCAGTACGTACAAGTAAGTCCAGCCCATCCTTAAGGGAAGGGGTTACTCAAGGGTGTGGATGGCAGAAGGTAGGGATCTTTGGGGACTATATTAGGGGTGGTCTACCATACACTTCTCTTGGTTCTTCTTGAGTCCAAGTTTTAAAGAAATAAAAAGAGGGCTGTTTTGTGGCATCAGGTTCAAACGATTTTTTTCTCTTTCTCATTTTTTAAAAAAGATTTATTATTTATCATTTATTTATTTAATTTATTTATTTTTGGCTGCATCGGGTCTTAGTTGCGGCATGCAGGATCTTCGTTGAGGCATACGGGATCTTTCATCGTGGCGCACAGGCTTCTCTCTAGTTGTGGTGTGCAGGTTTTCTCTTCTCTAGTTGTGGCGTCCAGGCTCCAGGGCGCGTGGGTTCTCTAGTTGAGGTGCACGAGCTCAGTAGTTGTGGCACGCGGGCTTAGTTGCCCCACGGCATGTAGGATCTTAGTTCCCTGACCAGGGATCGAACCCGTGACCCCTGCGTTGTAAGGCAGATTCTTCACCACTGGACCACCAGGGAAGTCCCCTCTTTTTCTTTTATATGAGTAGGTATGCTGGTCTAAGAGATGTCTTCCTTTTGGAAGAAGTCAATTTCTGTCATAAATCAACCTTAATAAAGCTAATTACATTCATGGTCTTCCCTTTTTCATTTTTGTTCTAGTAATCAGAAAGCTTTTAGGAAAGGGATTGAGGGCTTCCCACATACATCCCCTTCAGAGACTCCCTACTGTGTTTGAGGATTACTGCAGCAGACTCTGTCCAATAAGATGACTAGAGTCTAAACTCAATAATCACATTACTAATAACAAGTGGAAATAACCAACATTTATTCAGAGCTACTCTTGGCTAACACAACGTTATGCTCTTCACTTACTTTGTCACATTTAACCATCAAAACAACCCTATCTGTCTTTTAACTGTATTTTAAACCTCTTTTACTTGCTTTTGCATTTATAAATAGCTGTGTATCTGAGAAAGCCAGCAAATATAGGTGAATTTTTCAAAGCAAAAATTGTAGTCAAATATTATTATGGAAAAGAGAAACTCAGTCGAAGGCTTCTGATGTCCAGCAATTCCCCAGTTCTTGTTTTGTGATTCAAGCCTAGCTCCATCCAGAAAGGCCCATCCAGGACTCCTTGGACTTTTCCCATTATGACTCCACTGAAAAGAGAGGTATGGAAAACTGTATCATAAGATACTATAAGGTAACTCTGCTCTCCCCAAAGCCACTGAGTCTCCATGAATTGAAAGAAAGGGAAATGCAGGCTTGCCATCTATTAGAACCTACTGATCAGACTTCCCTGGTGGCACAGTGGTTAAGAATCGGCCTGTCAAAACAGGGGACACGGGTTCGATTCTTGGTCCAGGAAGATCCCACATGCCACGGAGCAACTAATCCCGTGGCCACAACTACTGAGCCTGCACGCTGCAGCTACTGAAGCCCGTGCGCCTAGAGCCCATGATCCCCAACAAGAGAGTCCACCACAATGAAGAGTAGCCCCTGCTCACTGCAACTAGAGAAAGCCCGCGCACAGCAACAAAGACCCAATGCAGCCAAAAAAATAAAGAAGCTACTGACCAATGTCTGTGTGGTTTACATTCTGTAGGGTAAGAGCCTTGAGGGAGGGCTACTAAGATGAATTGAAACTTCAAGGATGGATTTTTTTTAAAAGTCAGACCTACTGAGGTATAATTTACACAGCAACATTTTAAAGTATCAGAAAGATTTGAGGAATGGGGGTTGGTACCAGATTTTAAATGTGTCAGAACAAGGATAGAGGTAAAATTCCACCCAAGTAGATCAGGAATGAACCTCAGGCCTGTGTGTCTCAAAGAGAACAGAGGAGTTAGAATGGGACCAGGTGCCATGAGGAAGAAGCTTGTACCATCTTGATGGCCGCTGGCAGGTATGAACACACTGTACCAGAAGTCAAGAGGGCACTTTTAAAGTCACTCTGAGCAGATTTAACTTGGATAAAGGAGAGTGCCCATGGGCTCGGTGACCGTGGGGGAACTTGCTATACCAGTCCTCACATCAAGATGCACAATTCTCTTATCTAGGAAATAGACTCACAGATGTAGAGAACAGACTTGCAGTTGCCAAGGGGCAGGGGTGGATTGGGAGTTTGGGATTAGCAGATGTAAACTATTATATACAGGATGGATAAACAACAAGGTCCTGCTGTATAGCACAGGGAACTATATTCAACCTCCTGTAATAAACTATAATGGAAAGGAATATGAAAAAAAGAGTGTATATATATATATATATATATATATATATACACACACACACATATATGTATAACTGAATCACTTTGCTGTACAGCAGAAATTAACACAATGTTGTAAATCAACTCTACCTCAATAGAATAAACTTTTTAAAAAAGGCACCGTTCTTAACTAACATCTCAACCAGGCCCGGATGGCATTGGCGTGTCCATAAGGGATGGCCAACTGCAGCCTTTTTGCAACTAGTCACAGAAGACTGGGGGAAAACGGGTGACATTGAGGTTTTCTTTATGTTCTGCCACATGCCCCTGGAGGGCAGGGCCCATGCCTTATGCCTCTTTCCAATAAATATCTGTGGGTGCTGATGTTAAC